ACCTCAGCAGTTTTCTTATACTTAATCTACTGACTAGTATTTGTATTATGGGACATGGCTGCTTTCTAAGTTAAGTGCCTTTAATCTGTTAATTATCTAGACCTTTCAGAGGAGAAACCAACATCTTTCACGAGAAGAAAAGAAACGTATTTCAGAAACGCCAATAGGACCCAATGAGTTGATAAAAAGAGATTTAGAAGGAAGGGACTACTATTTTTTAGCTGTCAAGTGTTAGGTGTACTTTGCTACCATCTTAGCCATGTTGGACACTGGGTGACTGTAAGTACACATGCTGAATGTGGGACACTAGGAGGATGAGCCGTGATGATCTTGTCAAGCGACTGAATTAACCACTTCTAGAGTGACACTACCATAGCTTATAGGGCTATAGGAGATAATAACATTTATTGTTAAGCCAGATGAATCAAGAATTTTTGGTATTTGCAGCTGAGTGCATCCTAACAGATACACATTTCAGTTGTGGATTAAGAAATGTATGAACAGAAAATAGATTCAGTGGGATATTTAAACGACAGTTCTGACAGTTACCACATGTTGTTAAAAGGATCCATAAACAGACTAATCAGAATGAATACTGACAGGGCCTATCGGAGGCATGTCAACCGGGGCCATGGTGGACCATGACAGATTTTGAGACCTGCCAAGAGCAGCCTTGATTTAACAGCATTTTATCTGGTATAAATAAATTTTCTTTTATTTCGAGGATTCACTTTCATTCTTCCTTATCCCTTTAAGTGTTATCAAAGGAAAAAAAGCTTTAATAATAATATATTGAGTTATTAAAGTCCTTTTATTTGAAGCTTGACATACCAGGAAATGTGACTGACTGTTGTCTTGCCCAAGGTCAAACAGTGGGCCACTTTCAGAGCTAAATATAGATTGAGAGCATTCCACATAAAGAATAATTAGGACCTGTGAAAAACCTCCGGTGACTTAGAAATTGTAGAACCAAATTTTCTGTTGTTTATATTGTTAAACTACAAGTAAAATCTTCTCATTGGGCCCTGTTGGTGTTTCTGAAATATGTTTCTTTTCTTCTTGTGAAGGATGTTGGTTTCTCCTCTGAAAGGTCTAGGACATTAAAAGATTAAAAGCACTTGACTAAGAAAGCAGCCATGTCTGATAATACAAATACTGGTCAGTAGATTATTCTTTTCTTTTCTTTTTTTTTTTTTTTCAAATAAGGTTTTAACATCCAAACATTTAACTTGTTTTTGAGAAAGTAACTCATGTTAGTTTTTGTGATTTCATTAATGCTTGAAAAAAGGTCAGACTGTAAAAAGCAGGGCTAAACAGTATATGTCTAGAATAAATGACTGTTACTGACTTTTGTTCTCCTGTTACTGACCTTTGTTCTCCTGTTACTGTTTTGAGTTAATAAAACTGTCCAATGTGATTTGACACAATGGGAATGCTGGGCTCCTTCCAGCTCCACTAGGGCCATGACTTCAGAGGGGGGGCTCGTACCCTCCTTGGGCCCTGGCTCTCTCACCTATTCTGGCGGCACCCCTTTACATAAGAGTTAACTTTACCACAGGAGCTATGTGATGATCATATTAGCTCGTAGTATGTGTTCAATAAACAGTGGCTGGAATTAAACTGGTAGCAGAGTATGCTGTAAATGTGAGGTGTCCAGATACCTGCTGGGACTTGTCAGCCCTTCTTTTAGCCTCTTACATCCAGTGCTCTACTGCTGTATGTCCTCTAAACAGGGAGATAAAATTTCCTCTGCATTTCTCGGGGAAAAGGCTTTGACTATACATGCCGTTAAATGTTGGGCCACACACATAGAAAATAACTGACTGAATAGTAACCATGGAGTAGGCATTTGAAAATTGGCACTAAGCAGAAACGCATCAGCAGAGATTTTAGAATGACTCGTGGATTGGTGAAGAAAAAGGAATTCTTTGGTAGCTCTTGGTATCTACTTGTTTCTTCCCCTTTCCTAAATGTACATATGCTGTATATGGCACCTTATGCTTTTCTGTCTTCTGTTTTATAGAAAAAAAATTCTCTTTCCAATTGCTATACATGTTAAAATTGTATAGCATATGGCAGTTTCAAATACAAATACTTCTAACTTTTAGTTTTAGAGAAAAACAAAAGCACCGTAAAGAGAAGTAAAAAGTCTGTTGAAAATATGACTAAAGTAGGAATAATGGTTTAACAAAAAAGATTCTTGGCTTCCAGATTTCACAGTTAAGGCCGATTCTTTTTGCAGGTAATTAAGAACAGGACTTAACCAGTGAGATTTATAGATAAAGTTTTTCAGTTATGGTTTAATTATGTTGTTCCAGAATCTTTCTCTTTGGTTACAAAATGACTACAAAGGTGCAGCAGAGGCTAAGCAATAAAGGAGCATCTTTTGGGTCTGGGTGATAGATGTATGCCTATCATGAATTGATTATTGAGAGCTGAATTTTTTTTTTTTTTTTTTGAGATGAAGTCTTACACTGTCGCCCAGGCTGGAGTGCAGTAGTGCAATCTCTAGTCACTGCAACCTCCACCTCCCAGGTTCATGTGATTCTCCTGCCTCAGCCTCCCAAGTAGCTGGGATTACAGGTGCCCACCACCAGGCCCAGATACTTTTTTTTTTGTATTTTTAGTAGAGACGGGGTTTCACTACAAGAACACAGAGAAACAAAATGTAATATTGGGTATGACCATCCAATTTTCTTCAGGCCCAGAATAATTGTTTGTCTTTTTGGTACCCAATGGCAACATAAAAATTGGAGTATATTCCAAAACATCCCAATTTCCAGGAGTTATGTTTCCATGAATTGTCAAGCACTTCTTGAGCTTACATACATTTTCACTGGAACTATGACATTTCTTGGCATAACAGTTTCCATGAGTGGGCTACCTTCTGTGTAGTGAAATCTTCCTGAATTGTCTCTTTTGTACTTAAAAGTATATCTTGTCTCCTAAGGCTTGGTTCCAAAATTTGGAAGGATAAAGTGGTTTTTCTCTTTCTTTACACTTCATCATTTAATGTCCTCTTTTCTCTTCTCTCTTTTGAATAAAAGATATTTACTATTTTTTTCTTTCTCATGTGTCTCTACAAGTTGTCAGACTCAAATTTCCTTTAATTAATGAGTTGGAAGCCTCAGAAGAATTGGCAATTTGTACAGTTTTGGTAAGAATTGATAATTTGTACAGTTTGTAGAGTCAAAATCCTACAGCAAGATTTGCTTTTTATTTTGACTCCAAATATATATATATGTTCAGTTATAGGTAGAAAAAGATGCTAACAGAGAATAGAGCTTTTGGTCACAGTTAAGAATTATCTTTTTCCATTAGAGACAATAATCAGAGTGGACAGTTCTAAGTACATGGACAAGAGGCAGCTGCCACCCACCCCATACTTTTTATAGTTTCATTCCTGCCATTTTAAACAATTATAATAAAAAACCCAAAATATGATAGCAGATATAAGCAACTGTCCTAACCATGATTTGTCCGTAGCCAGGCCTGGGAGAAAAGAAAGCATGGAAAGGTTATGGTTTTAAGTTTGTGAACATAGTATCATATCAGATATTTTTCCTCATCGAGGTTAACCTTCTTTTTTAAATCTTATAGTAGACCTCCATATACTGCTGAGAAGAGTGCTAATTCCCTAATAAATGGTCATCAATATTGCCAGTGATTATGTTTGTGAATGGTCCAAGTTGCTATTTTTCCTGGAAGATGAACGTGTTCAGGGGCCATTCTGCTTTTTCTGTGCTCTCAACTGAGTCGTTTTTCCAAGATGTTGCAGGCAACAGTGCTAGGCTCCAGCCCCGAAAAGGGTCTGTCTTTAGGTCCTTTGTTTTAAAATAGGATTATATTACTCTAGCAGCATTAATAAAGGGATGTGATGGCAAAACATGAGGAACCAAGGCAAGATTTTGAACATACTACCATAGAGCTTGGTTAAGTAACATTTTTTCTGCATAATATTTTGAAATTGTGGTATGCTGTTTCATATCGTATATAGCTGAGTCTACACACAAATTGTGTTGAATAATCCAGAACTCTGGATCAGTGGCTTAGGGTTTGTAGAGCCAGGCAGATTGGTTTCAGATCCCCTTATTGTCACATACTCTCCGAAAGATTTCACACAAGTTACTTTGCTGAGCTCACTTTTTTCACCTGTAAAATGGGGATAGTAAATACCACCGTCCTCAGAGAGCTGTCTTAGAGATTAAATGAATGAGTAAACTCAAGTGCCTCGTGTTAAGTGTCCAATAAATGTTAGGTTTTAAAATTCTTGTCTTGAATTTCTCCATTGTTTTCTATCTTTCATTATGATTAATTTTAACATTATCTAGCTTTCCTTCATTCGTGATAAATACTGTTAAATACTGTTTGTTAATATCTTGATAAATACTGTTAGTTAACGACACATTTCATATATATATATATATATTTTCCCCCCGCCTTGAGATGGAGTATTGCTCTGTCACCCAGGCTGCAGTACAGTGGCGTGATCTCAGCTCACTGCAACCTCCACCTCCCAGGTTCAAGTGATTCTTCTGCCTCAGCCTCCCGAGTAGCTGGGACTACAGGCACGTGCCACCATGCCTGGTCAATTTTTGTATTTTTAATAGAGGCAGGGTTTCACTATGTTAGACAGGCTGGTCTTGAACTCCTGACCTTGTGACCCACCCACCTCGTCTTCCCAAAGTGCTGGGATGATAGGTGTGAGTCACCGCGCCTAGCCATATTTCATTTTATTTTTTTATAGAGTCAGGGTTGCACTTAGTCACCCCTGCACTCAGGCTGGAGTACAGTGGTATGATCATAGCTCACTATAACCTTGAACTCCTGGGCTCAAGCAATCCTCCTCCCTCAGCCTTCTGAGTAGCTGGGACTAAGGCATGTGCCACTATGCCCAGCTAATTTTTTAAATTTTTTTGTAGAGATGGGGTCTCACTGTGTTACCCAGGCTGGTCTTGCACTCCTGGCCTCAAGTGCTTCTCTCGCCTTGGCCTCCCAACGTGCTGGCATTATAGGTATGAGCCATGGTGCCTGTACCTGTTCTTAATTGCACATTTTCAGAAGCAGTGCCAACAGGGAATAATTAATAATAAAGTTAAGTTGGTAGGATTTATTGCACGAACATTGTCCTCCTGGGCTCTGGTTTGAGTAGAGGACCTTTTTGTTTGGAGACCAGATATGTAAGTATTAACTCAAGATGGCTGCTAGTAGGGCATAAAATTGGAAGTGGAGGAGGCAAGATTGCTACCTGGTGCTAGAAAGACTGAGGTGCATATAAATACAGCCGTTAGACAGTCTGTTCTCTTCTTCCCCTCCCCCTCAAATACTATTTTGCAACGCAAATTAAAAGCTTTATAATGAACTTACCTGATTTACAGATAAAGATATCAAAACTCCGACAAGGAGACATGAGTTTCATAACTGTTAATACCTGACATCTGGGATTCAAACCCATGGTTTCCTGACTCTAAAGGTTTTATCACTATACCAATGCTGGTGATTGGGAAATGCCAGGAGTTACTTTCCTCAATGAAGAACGTTCCCTGCAAATACATCTTCATTGAACACAAAAAGTAATGTTTAGGATAATTGTTCACTGGTTGTTAGGCTATTTCCTTTGTTATTTTGATCACAAAATCATATAATGCTAGTACTATAGAGGATCCTAATATTCCTACTGCCTTATTTCTGGATGAAGAAACAGAGGTCCAGAGAAGACCAAGGGTTTGTCTGGTGTTTCCTAGCTGGCTAGTGGCAGTGGTAAGGCTAGGAAGAACCTCATTCTATGTCACCTCTCCAGTGTTCAATCTTTGCTCTAGGTTCTGATGTTACCATTTTTAGGATTACAGGCCATTGATTTGCTTTGTAGTCTTAATAAGGTTTATATTATTGCTTTTAGGACTATTTTACATTTATATACAAAATCATTTTATATTTTAAAACATACATCTATATTCACTCATGTGTTGGTGAATTTGGAGGAATAATGGAAGAGTTTAAAGTTGCTGTTTATAAGTCACTAAGCTGTGAAGAAACAACTGGTTATAAAAGTGGAATTTTACTTAAAACTGTAATGTTCATTGTATGATAGAATGGAGTGTCCTCTTTAAATCAAGGTAAAATAAGCATATTTACATTTTAAATAGTCTGAAAAAGCGAAAGCAATTTAAAGGCGTAAATCTCTGAACGTTAATTTTAATTATGTGGGTAGACCTGCCAGTTTAATTTAATCAGTCAGATCTTTGCTTTTTATTCCATAGATCTTCACAGTATTTCTAATTTGGAAGTCAAAGTGCATATTAATGTACCTGTGACATATAGAAACAACTGTGTTCCTTGATGACACTCTCAAATACTCTTTGATATTTGCATCAAAATTATCAAAATTCTATCTTTCAGAAAAAAAAGCATTGAAAACAGATACTAGTGTTTGTCGACATCTTCACTGTTTTTTTTCTAAAATGTAACAAATATAATTTGTAAAAGTGACAATTTTCATTTTTCCACGCTGCAGGCTCTTTTTGTTTGGATGAGTATGAAAGTAGGTGGACTATGTTCAGAACCACTTGAGGTGTTTAGCATCATCATGTTCCCTCTCCTTCTAATCCATGGGAAATAGGTGTGCCTAGCTAGTAAATAGAGGAGCAAGAAAGAATTGGGGTGGAATTTCTGGCACTATGGGCAATTTTTCTTTCCTAGAGTGTCATAAACTAAGGCTATTATCTCTATAAGATAACAGATTTTGAACAATTATATGAAATCTGTTATTTCATGGAATAAAGTTCAAAATCTAGCCTGTTTTAAAATTAGTTGTTTTCCTGCCCCTGAATTTGCTCAATCACCTTGTGGCTTCATTCAGAAAGATGCCCTAGTCTTTTATGTTTTTGTCAGTGATGCATCTATATTTGAGTAATTTTGTAGGCTGTTGACATATTTGATGGTATAATTTCAAAATTCAAAGTATTGATTACTGCTTTAGTAGGGGAATAAGGCAGTATCTCAGAAAGCAGGAATTTAAAAGATATGCCGTACCGTACAGATAACAGTCGATCGCCTCTTTCCCCACACTTAGCCTATCATTTCTATTGTTCATGCAGTTTGCTAGGTAGTTAATGGTACTTCATACAAGTTGTGGTTCCAGTGTTCTGCTCTGTTGGGTTTTCTGTTCATAAACAACAGTCTCTTGTGGATAAAAGAAAGCTCTTCCTCTTTAAGTAGCAGACAGAAAATATGTTTTTTTTTTTCGGGTTTGAATTTTCATGTGTAATTACTGCAGTTGTCTGTAGGAGAAAGGACTCATTGTGGTTTTTCTCGGCTATCATTCTTAAAGACGTGCAGATAGCCAGACAGCACACATGGCACTGACCTACGGCCGGGGACTCACAGTTTTGAGAGAATTAGGGAGTGTATAGCCACTTCCCTCTCTGAATGCCAGTCCCAGAGCAGTTGCATTAGGCTGGAGGACTGGAGGTGGAGCCTTTTTTGCTCACGGCAGCAAGTTCCCTTCTCCTTTCTCTCCCCCTGCGGCGTGTGCGTTGGCTTTTCAAGCTGCCTGTGCTGCTCTGTGGAGTGAAAAAGGCAGGGTGTGCTCGCAGACTGTGCTATAAACTGCAGTTTCTATTTGGGGTCCTCACGGAGAAGAACACCAGGAAAGACAGACAGGACCAGTGCCATGGGCCAGCTTTGCTGCTTTCCTTTCTCAAGAGATGAAGGAAAAATCAGTAAGTGGGATTTGTACTGTGCAGAATCCTAAATGCTTTACTATTTTGTGCGGTTGTCTTCTAGGGGTAGTTTTGCTCTTTTTTTAATAGGAAAGATAGCAGACTAATCAGCTATGATTTTTAATGTGTGTTTCTTAAAGGGACTGGTAGGTGTGTAGTTACAAATTAACTGTAAAAGTACTGCAACTCAGTAGATGGGCTGTGTTAAAAATACAAAATACTGAAAACTCATTTCTGATTCTCCTCTGTTGGTATTCTCCCAGCTCATTTTTATCACACTACGTTAGAGTCAGAGTTGAGTTTTGAGTTTCTTTAAATCACTGCATTCAATTTGATATACTGTACAAGCCAGACTTCATTTTTCTTATCTGAAACTGGCGTATTTTCAGAGCAATGCTCAACGGTAACAGATAGAGAGGTAAAGCCTGTTCTAAAATGACACATACTAGACACTTGCAGATATTTTCATGTGTCCCCTGCTTTGTTCTTCCTGGAAGGGATTCAGGTGTGCCTATGAGACCACTCTAAACAAGTGATGCCGCTTTGCTTCTAGCAGAAACCCCACTGAACCTGCCTACATGAATGTTGAATTCCACAGCTGCTTATGCCCAGAGAAGAGAACTTAAAGTGGTGACATTTGCATTGAATTTTGTTCTTCACTGGCTTATGTGTATTCACTTACATTTTAGCTTTGTTAAATGGAATACTGGCATTTTAATTAGTATGCCGAATAGAGTTTGCCTTACCCTAGTTGCCCCAAAATAGGGAATTTTTACTTCCTTTTCAATATAATGTTTCCAGTCATACTTGCTAAATTTTCAACCACATTTGTGTCATATCAGTGCTTGATTCTAATTTAAATAGGTCCATAGAATTTCATAATATCTGGTTCAGATGCTGAAAGATCTACATCTGGTTTATATTTCCTGCTGCTTGTTCTTCAGGAAACTAGCCAGGGACTGTTTAAAAAAATAATACATATGCTATACCTGTTCATTTCGGAAATAAGACGGTTTTTACAGTAACTCTTTGGGGAATCCTTTGGAATAAACACTGAAGTCTCCAAACATTGGAAACTGTGGAACATTTGATTGTTAACAAGGAGCCAATAAACTGTGCTCTAAATTTTACTTGTGAAAGGATACTGTACAGTATGTGACAGTCCTGCTCTTACAACTTGAGATGACCTTATAACAAAATCATTCACTTCTAACAAAGAGCATTGGCAGTCATTTGGCAGCCCAAGACTTCTCAGGTTGTCAGAATGATTTATTTGTAGTTCCTGAAGATTTGGGTTGGTTGAATTTTTTCTTGGGGAACGCTTCTCTCTGAAAAACCTCGGCATGGGCTGATGCAGGGATAGTGAATTCTTTCCCCACCCTCTTCACTTTCTATCCCACTGCTCAGGATTTTCCCTTGGAGTGCCTGCTCTCCTGTTCTGTTTCTCTTCTTCCCCTGTCTGTAAACATCTTTTGGCTCCATCTCAAGAAGTGAAGTTTCAACTCCAGAAGGAACTTGTTCTTTTCTGTCTTCATTATCAGGGACTATTGGAGAACAGTCTTCTGTTTTACATACGGTGCTTCCTAATATCGATGGACAGGAAGTAATATATACTGCTTTTGGGGTTTACTGTCTCAAGTTCCAAACTTTAAGAAAAAATGAAGATAAAACACCATATCTGAAGTGAAGCCTGAGTCTGGAGGTGCAAATTATGGTTAGAAGAAATGCATTTGCATCCCCACCCCCATTCACTCCTGATGGCCCCCTGGGTCCTCTCCATTTTCTCCCCATTATTCTTTCTTCTGTCTGATTTCGTGGTTACTTCACTGTTTTTCTCCTCCTAATCTGCTTCACACTCCATTCACACACCCCATGCACAAACATATGCACATTGTAGAGCTGTTTCCTGATGCCGTGTTTAATTTCTTTGCTACAGGATGGTCTAAAGAGAGGCTTCTGTGCCAGGCACTGCTATCCTTCTGGTAATATGTACCTAACAGTACTTATAAAGGGGACATTTAAAAAGTGGCAGAGAATTTATTGCTCAGCATGCCTCAAGGAGCGTATAAATTAGCACAAACTGTGGATATCCAGTCTGTAAGTTGTGCTGCTAATGTGAAAGAATCCATAATAGACATTTGGGAGGGTCCAGCTTTTTCCTAATCTTGCTGCTGGATTGTACAGTAACCTCCTGGGTCTTGTTTATCTTTGTGTCATCACCTAATAGCCTTGTTAGCCTACTCAGAGCAACATACTACTTGAGCACATACTAAAAGCAAAGCACAAAAATGTGAATACCCACTCCTTCTAATTCTGTAACAGGCGGTGGCCTTAGAATGTTCTTCCTTGAAGGGAGCCCAAATTATGGATAATTTGATAAGTTTTTGGTGAAAGTTTAAATGTGCGGGTGTTATTCTCAAAACACAGGTGAGTTGCAAAGCTCGTCCTCTGCAGTCCTACAGAGATACAGCAAGGACATACCCAGTTGGTCAAGTGGTAAGATTGAAGTGACCCCTCCCCTCTCCTGCTGCTATTTTATCCTGCTTTTGCCTTTTGGTGGTGGTGATAGATAGAAATAATTCTAATTTAATTGATTTATTAGTGCTACCATTTTAGTGTATTGATAGCAAATGATGATTTTTTAAAATGAGCTAGTCATGTGGGAGCCTAAGCTGTAGAAAGTTAACTATATGCATACCCAGAAATATTTTATGCAGTTTTAACTGATATCTAATAAATATACATATTTATGGGGCACATGCAATATTTTGGTACATGCATACAATGTGTAAGGATCAAATCAGGGCAATTAGGTTATCCATCACCTCAAACACTTATCATTTCCTTGTGGCAGGAACATTTCAACTCCTTTCTTCCAGCTATTTTGGAATGTACAATAAATTGTTTTTAACTATAGTCACATTACTGTGCTGTCAAACATTAGAACCGATTCCTTCTATCTGTGTTTGTACCCATTCATCTCTCATCATCTTTCTCCCCGACAACTTCCCAGCCCCGGTAACCATCATTCTACTCTATCTCCATGAGATCCACTTTTTTTTTTTGCTCCAATGTAGGAGTGAGAACATACAGTATTTGTCTTTATGTGCCTGGCTTATTTCACTTCCCATAATGACCTATGTTTCCATCCATGTTGCTGAAAGTGACAGGATTTTATTCTTTTTTATGGCTGAATTGTATTCCATAGTATATATACCACATGATTTCATCATCCATTCATCCATTGATGGAAAGTTAGGTTGATTCCGTATTTGGCTCTAGTGAATAATGCTGCAGCAAACATCAGGGTGCAGGTATTCCTTTGATACACTGATTTCCTTTTCTGTGGATAGATACCCAGTAGTGGGATTGCGAGAAATTTTGCCAATGGGTTGAATAGTCAAATACAGCAGAGCTTGTCATGACTTATTTATTAATTAGTGTAGCACAAAACAACTTTTTGTTTAAATCTTGGAAGTTAAACATTTTTCCAAACTGTATACTTTTTTTTTTTTTACCACAGTAAGTAGAATACACTGTCAATAAATTCATATTTCTTGGAAGATTAGAACCTTTCTTTTTTTATATAGGAACATTCTTAACATTAAAAAATTACAGTAAATATTATAGGATTAACAAATACTATGGATATTTTCCAGTATAGTTTTTGCTGACTAGAACTTGATTTCTTTGAATTACCTAATTTCTCATATTGAGCTGCCTGAAAGGAATGTCCATCATGAACAGAAATGTCATTGCAGATAACCCACAGGGGTCAATATTGCAGAGTCATATGGACCGCTGTGGGTTATATATCTCCTTAAGCAAACCTCACAAGAAAGCTTAATAACTATGTATATACTTCTGTAACTAATTAGAAAACATTCTGTTTTCTCTTTTCCTGTTGCGGATTTTCCCATTTTGAAGTACATTGCTTTTATATAGAGTTAAGTAGATGAATGGCTAAAGATGAACTGACCTACTTCATGAGTTAGTCAGTCTCTTGTCACTGAAATTATTCAAGGATAGGATGGGGATATCATAAGGACATCACCTTCTAGGGGTGTTGCAAAGGGAGAATGGACTTGGTAATGAATGAATGCGTTGACAACTCAGTTTCTTTCTAACCCTGATATTCTGTGATGACTGAAAATGAAATATTAGAGTAAGTATGTGTTTTAATAAGACACATTTTAATTTTATACATGAAATATGTGTCAGTATAGTCTTTTGTGAGGGATGAATTACTGGGACCATTTATAGTACTCATTTTATAAATATGAGTCAAATGTTGAGATAATTTCTGATGATATTACTTTAATCCATAAATTGAGGTATGTAGTGTGGATTTAATGTCTGGTGAATACTTATATATAACCATAATTACCATAAAGGTGATCAAATTTTACACAAGGAAATCTATACTTAGATTTTCCAATTACCTAGAAGTCATCCTAGAAATCCTACAGCCTTATACTTTGCTCTTCTCATTTGCATCTAAGATATGTTGACTTCATGGTTACCTTTCATATGTCTGCTCTATCTTATCACATGGATTTCAAACACCTCGTATTCAGGGTACGTATTGTACATCTCTCTTAGTAGCACCAGACCCTAACATAGTATCTTACTCAGAGGAGGCATTTTCTAAATGCTTGTTGATGAAGGGAATGATACACATTTCTTGTGAGTGTGAGAGAGCTTCAGTGTCAATCAGTCTATCAGAGGATAGAATATGGAATAACTCTGGTTAATGTTGGAATCCATGAAGAGCTTTGGTTACTGAACGTACCAGAGAAACATTTTAACAGGCTCACACTGACTTTACATTCTGGGCCCCAGGGAATGTGGATAGGGAGCCTCCCATCAAAGGACAGTGACACTTTATTTTTCTTCCTTGCCAGTAAAAATGTGTTTGCCCACAGGGGACACAGTATAACTCCAGTTCTGCCACTGCCTGTTGAAAACATACGGCCCATTGCTTGGCATGCAGTTCTTACTGTAGACCGAGCACAGGCCTGGGAGAACAGAGAACTGGGTGAGAAACCCAGCTCTGCTCTTACATCTTGTCTGAGCAAGCTGCTAACATCTCAGGGCTTCAGTTCCTCAGATTTAAGAAGTGGGGGTTGAACTACTCTTCTTTTGAAAGTTTAATTTATTTTTTTCCATTTGCCCCTTAGAGCTAAGAGTCTAGGGAATAAAAGAATGAGTGATATAGATGTGATGCAATTGTTTTTCTTCCTCCTCCTCTACATCTTCCTCTTTGACTTCCCCTCTTTCTCTTTCTCCTCTTCTTAATTTATTTAATGCTTACTGTGTGCCAAGTACTAGGCTAGAATTATGTTCAAGACTGCTTATTAAATGCAACTGGTAGAAAATAGATGCTCCCCTGTCTCATTTAAGAGGGCAAGTTGCTGAAAGCCAGAAGTGTGGGGGATTTCTCAGTTACAGTCCTCCAGGGTGCCATGGGGCTGAGAGCTGGTAGAAGGCTGGGATCCCAGGCAGCTCGGTATCTGCTGTCCGCTTTCTGAAGCAGTGAAGCCAGAGGTGTTGTGTGTAACCTGAGACTACATTTTGCATAAGATTTCTGTGGGTAATATTGTGGTGGAGCAGGAATGGTGTGCAAGGTAAAACAAACATTTAACCATAGTCACTAAAGATTCGATTTTCCCTTTATTAAATAATTTGTAATTTGTAATCAGGAAGCTTATGTTTCTAACATCAAGTAAAGGAACATTAGAGCAAATGCTAGTAGTTACTATTCATATCTCACCTTCCTGATTCCTTCTATTAATTCACAGGCTATGTGGTAACTGTATTCCTTCTTGTTATTCTGACATTTTTAGAGTTTGCAGGATTCTACCATCAAATGTTGAATAATTTTTATGAGGAATAGCAAGGTCGTAGACTTGTTCCCAGCCCCCAGTAGAGCCATTGACTGCCATGAGCTGTATCCAGAAGCCCTGTCCTTCAGCATTGTGATGTGGTCTGTCCTGTGTCGTCTTCCTGGGGGGCCATGAAAGAAGAAGCGGGACTCTGATATACCAAAAGCTTTTGGCTAATAAAAGAAAGCTTCATATCTGTTGCTCCTTCCTGGAGCATTATTATTATTTTAAGAGATGGCCCAGGCAGGTCTCAAACTCCTGGCCTCAAGCGATCCTCCCACCTCGGCCTCCCAGAGTATTGGGATTATAGGTGTGAGCCACTGCACCCAGCCGTGGATTTGCATTTTAATAAGACCAAATTATCCCAAGTGCTCTTGGGAAATATTTATAGTAAAATAATGAAATAAAAAATAAAATAAATAAGCAGTGATGATGACTTAGCCCAACTCAAAAGAGTTTCAGAATTCTCAATTTCTATATTGTAGAAAAATAGAGGCCCTAGAAACAAAATGGCTCAGTTTGCACTTTTGGTTCTGACATTTACCGTTTAACTTCTCTAAGCTTTTTTCTGTACCTTTGTCTTAAACAGTATCTACTTATTGTGAAAATTAAATAAGCTAATGCCTATAAAATTCCTGACAGTGTGCTTGGCATATAATAGACTCAGTAAATATAACTTTCTCTGTAGCAAATAGCGTGTTAATTGCATAGCTGCAGTCAGAAGTCAGCTTGAGCTTGGGCAACGTGGCGAAAATTAACTGGGTTTGATGATGTGCACCTGTAGTCCCAATCACTCGGGAGGCTGAAATGCCATGATTGCACCACTGCACTCCAGCCTGGGTGACAAAGTGAGACAGACCTTGTCTCCAAAAAAAAAAAAAAAAAGTCAGCTTGGCAGAACTATACTTTTATTTCTACCTTATGCAGTAGAGATAAAAAGGCACTTAGAATGTCAGACCTTGAATTGTCGAGTAGACTTGTGGCATTGATCTGGCATTGATCCTCATTTCCTATGGGGAACTCTTTCCCCCTCTTCTTGGGGTCTTGTCCATCATGAAGCCTTACTTCCTGCACCAGGAGAGACATGTGGTCCCAGCAAAGTCAACCATGATCTTCCTTGAGATTTGATAGAGAGCCTGTGTTCCTTTTGGGTTGTGAGCAGAAAGGCTACCATCCTAAGATCACAGTACTTGGTACTGTAAAGCAAGTACAGTGAGGAAGAGTCATTCTGAGAATGGAGCCAGCACAGAGGGAAGTAAGCCTGGGGAAGGAAGAGTCCTGATGAGTGTTTGAGCCTCTGAGTTCAGCCATGCCCAAGACCTTCTCCACTACATGAAGCAATAAATCCTCTCCTTTTTCTTTGTTTATACTTGCTTGATTTAGGGGACACTCAGTGTGTATAAGTAGAAATAAAACCATAGTTATGCCAAGCTGACTTCTAAGGTGACTGTGGTTACACAATTAATACACTTTTTTGTTGCAGGGAAATTATATTTACTGAGTTTATTAGATGCCAAGTCCCAGTGTATATTCCGAAACAAATATTACCAAACCTAGTGAAGAAGCCAGAGCTCTCTGACTTATTCTTCATGTTCCATTTTAGTTGCAATG